GTGAAGATTGTCATTCGTATTCCCGGCTTTTTGTTGAGGCATTCGCTAATTATTCGTCCTTTCGTCTTCGATTTGAAGAGTTTTCGTGCTACTACTTCGTCGTAAAAGTCACAATAAGTTCTGTGGTGCATCGAGTGCGCGAAGAATCGTTTTTTGCAGTATTATTACTTCGTTTGGTAAGTTGTATAATAAGACTTAGACAACTTAGGTTTTTCTTTCGGCAGAACTTTGTCGAAGTTCATAGGCTAGGCCTGATTCGCAGACCTCGTCATACGCTTTAACCAACTCATTTAATTAAAGTATCGGAGTTGGTGACAGATCATTTCGATTAACGTTTCGTAATCCATATTTGGGACTTTCTTTTTAAATTCTTAAACCCCTTTGTAAAGTTCACAAACGCCCCGAAGTTGGCCCCAGCAGACAGGTTTCTGCTTGATAATTATTGCAGAAGTTTGCTTAAGTTGAACACGTGGGGAAGTTGAAGTTTTAGTTTTTTTTTCGTATCAGCTCCTGAAGCAGTTTTATTTTTAGTTTCAGTTTTTCTCTCGTTTCGTGTCTCACTTGGACAACTTAAGCCAACTCATTTTCTTGTTTAGTAAATTCAGACTCTGTGGGAGTTAGGCTAGGTTAGGCCTATCTTGTACTAACCTTGTTTGTTTCAGGTTGACGACGTAACTCCGTAGGTAAGCGGAGTGACTACTTAGCTTACTTGTTGATTTGTTAAGTTAGCTAGTAGTGTGTCATTTAGATATTTGCCCACAGAGTCAAGTCAAAATTATTTATTTCCCCACAAGCCCTAGGCTAGAGTGGTGATTTCGAGTAGGGTGTTTAGTAACCCGCAACGTTCGTCTCGAGCTCTGACAACCAGGGCTATCAAATTTAGGCTATCCGAATCACTATCGACTCCTGGGAAACTCCCCGCGACCAGACTAGGGCGAATCCTGGGATCCTCGTTTTATTACCGGTGGCGTAATTTCCCACTTGTCGTCCGCCAGGAAAATTACGTCACAAACTATAGATTTTCATACGTGGCCCCGTAAAACATACAGTTGATAGCTCATACAATGAAGTAAGTGATATCGGAGGCTTAGGTAAGTGCAAAGAGTATATATTTACAACGAATTTATATTATGGGATTGAGTAAATGAAACGATAATAAAATGGGTTCTTTTCATTTAATTCACTACCAATACTTTTTTATTGTGAATTCCGATATTTTCAACAGTTAGCCTAGTTATGAATATATCAATTATAAAATGAAACTATTCTTAACTAACCTAACCAACCAAACTTTCTGATTATGAATAAAATACTGGTAGTGAATAAACGGAAATGCAATAAAAAAGTATTGGTAGTGAATTAACGGAAACGGACCATAAAATGTATTTAATAATATTTGTTTACAATGGGATTACTACCTTAGTACAATAGAAATATGTATTCACAACTGATGCCTTTTAGATGGGGCTTAATGGCAATTGATTGGGTGTACAAAGTGGTGTGAACTAAGTGTAATGCATTGTAATTACAACTAGTGCCTGGAGAAAAGGGTTTAACAAAGTGCAATTGCAATAAGTGTTAACTGGTACATACACAACGATGTAATATGCGCAAGAGCAATTTGTATTTACATCTTGGTACTTGGTGTTATCCAAGTAGAATTGAAACTTAGGGGTTGGAAAGTGTTTAGATTAGTAACATTGCAAATTTTTTTATACTGGTTCCTCAAGATGGGGTGCAAAGAACTATATAATTACAACTAATGGCTGGAGGAGAGCGCTTAAATAAGTTCAATCAATTGCAATATGTGTTTCCAACCGGTGGCCTGAGAGGGCTTAACTAAATCAAATCGCATTTTGTATTACAACTAGTTACAAAAGTGGGATGGCTAATTGCAGTTGCATTGTTCATTTACAACTCATTACAGGATATAGGTAAATAGCTGAAAATTGCATATTTGCCTACAATTGCGTTCAATAGTGCAATGGCAATATCTATTTCAAACTGGTACCAACAGGGAGAGAGCTTAACTAAGTGCAATTAGTAGTAATATATGTTTACAATTGGTCAATAGATAATGCGTAATTCAATGCATAAAATCCATTAAATATCAATAAATATCCATGGTTATATCCATGTAATTTTAGAATACACGAATAACGTTGCCAGATTTGTAGATCTATATTATAAAGAGATTTTAACTACATAACATAACCCCATTTTAAAATGACCACACCATGAGCCTTTATAACTACTATATTATATGAAATTGTTTACACGTTTTCCCTCACATGATCCCCCAGACCAAGCCACTACCCTTACAATGATCGTCTGCTGCAAGTCTGCACACTGTTGCTCACAGTATCACTTCTCGAGCACGTCGCTTTCCTCCCCCAACTAAATCCAATTTCCTCCCTCGCTCCAATCTGCTCCTCACCGGTGTAATCGTTTCTTTCATTTTTTCTTTGACAATTGATACGGCCTTGATGTAGTTAGAGCTACATCAATCCTTTAACTTTTATAGGTAGGCTAAGCTGTAAAAATGTGTTTCCATATGCAACTTTTTATAAATTTTTGACTGGATTATTAGATTTTTATACTGGAATTCATGGAAAATGTAGTTATGTAAATGTACTTCTAACTGAGTTTACCAAGTTATTTTGTTCAGTTATTCATTTTAAGCAGCTGAAATTATTGTTCTGTTTCGCTGTTTCAGTTTCTTTAGTTTAGCTATAGATAATGTTTGGTTGGGCTTAGTGGTTTGAATTGCGCATTTGCTAAGGGCTTAAACTTAATTTCGAACCATATAAAAATATTTTTAGGTACCTAATTTTGTTTTGATGTTAAACTTGAAATCAATGTATCTTTTGAGATATGCAATTCTCTGAAACGATTATACATTTTAAATAACCTGCAAAGTTCTTTTTTATTTTGAGGTTAAAAAAAGTCTGGACGAACTCGAGATTTTTAAGTCCCATAAAAACACATCTATTGTCGACCAGTAAATATTATATTATAAACTAGCAAGAAAGATATCTGGTACATACAGATACAATTTTCACGATATACCACGTTAGTAAATCAATATGTATACTTTCAACTACAAAATATATATTCGCAAGATATAATGCAGGCTACGCAGGCGGTCAGGGAGAGAGGCTTTGCTGCCCCAGAAGTCAAAGCTGGCTTGTTTCACGTACTTAACTGTACCACCAGAGATGTGTTTTTGTACTCGAGCCAAAGTCAGCCTCAATAAATACAAACGTCCAAACCGTTCTTGCTGCTGAACTAGTCTTGAAACTCAAGTTTCCCTCTTGGACTGATTTAGTTGTATAAGAAATGATTGGTTAAGAGAAAGGCATAATATGAGAAATTGAGGACAGTCAGTGGCTCAAAATGTTTAGACGTTAAATTAATTATGTTATCAATTAGCGTTATGAATTTAAACCCACTACGTAATGAATATCCATTATTGATTTAGTAACATTATACACGATCAAGTACCGCATTAAAGTTTTACTGCAAAGTTAAATTGTAAATGTAAGGATGTGTTAGGTGATATATGGTTCTTCAATTTGCATCACACCAAAAATATAAGAAATTAAACCAGTACAACTGCTATACATTTAAAGGAGTGGTTAAGAGTATTTAAACTATTGACAGATGGTTTGGCTATTTAGTAGAAATAAGGTGTATTTCAAAGCAAAAGCAATTCTATAGCACGTGTTATAAGGTCAAGTCCTGGTTATTTTTAGCTATAATATCAGTGGAATATTAAAAAGAGGACATTATACACTTTCAAGCGAAAATTGTCCAAACCTCCGTACCCCTTGAATTTTGTAGATATCCCGAATATCCAACTCCTCTCCATTACCATCTCTTTCAGGCAGTGCAATAACTTTTCTATTTGCTCAACTCGTGTATTTGTAGCTATAATTCTCCATAGGATGACTTTGACTCAATCGCCTCCGCACGCATTGTACGTACTCGTATGCATTAAAGCGCAAATGCGTCACATTATTTCCACTTGTTGGTCAAACGTTTACCCTCGCCTGTCTAGTGTGTACTGACCACTACACGATGACTGGCCGGATACTCAGCGAGCCTGTCAAGTGTCTGTATACAGTCTAGGCTAGGTAATGTATGCATGGGGAATACTATGGGAATAGGAGCAGTTATTTAATTGTTTAAATAGTTACCTGGGAATTTATCGTCTTGGGTGATAAAAATTGGAGACGTTTACGTCAGTGTGAAAAATGTTGAAACTTGAAACGATCTTTGTAAACAGTCAACAAGCACCAAAGGAGGTTGAGGGAAGGATACAAATTCTATTAAAAATTAAAACATTCTTCTATTTTAAAGTAATTCTTTAAAATCTACAGAAAATAATTGGAAACAACACATCTTTTAAATGAAAGTATTAGGGTTTGTGGGCTTTGTGTGGAGAGGACCAATTTTTAAATATTGGTGACTCCGAATTAAAATCTCTGGAATGATTTGTTAGTTGAGTTTAAGTAGAAAACGGTGTTAAGAAAATAGATCAGATAAGGGTCAGTTCCTCTTCAGTAAGAATAAGGAATTTTTCTTCTATATTAAAAATTTTTTTAATGTCAACAACGAGAACCGTCTACTTTGTAGAAAAATGTTGATGGCTTTGAATAAAAACTACGATTGCAAAGAGTCTTATAGAGAAATAATAAGCCATTTTTCTGATTGCAAGTAGGGTAATTCGTAAGAAGGTATATTTCTTGAACTGACAATCATTGATGACTGAGCCAAATTACAATTTTTGACTATAAGGACATTGTTGGGGCATTGGATGAAATAGACCATTTAAATCTCCCTAATCTTAGAGTACTATGGTGATGGGGGTGGGGTATTTCTGCGGGAGCGGTGGTGAAGAATGTTGGCCTAAAAAGAACTTTTGAAGGACGAAGATCACCTCTTCAAGGATAGACGTTTGTGAGGATACATTAAGAAAATATATAGTTTATTCCTACCTGGTTCTTGCCCTTGAGCACCAGGACGTTGGTGACTCGGCCGAAGGGGATGCCAAGGTGGATGATCTCCGCCTCAGTGACCTCATTGGGGATGTTGCGGATATGTATCACCTTTGACGGTTTGTTCTCTCTCGTCGCGCCGTTCGATTTGTCTAGCTTGGCCTGCAAACAAAACAATACACATAAATAAATGGCTGTGTCAAGTAATCTGAGAGCGAGTATGTAGTTTGTGGATTGATGTTAGATAAGACTTGGAAAAGGAGATTGAAGGATATAAGCTTAGGAATTTGAAGAACAGGAAAGGCAGCGCTAGTGGAACGATTGAACCAGAGGAATGATTAAACTTGAATAAACTTGTTTATGTGCGATTTAAAGTAAGTTTAAAACTTACAAAAAACAATTAACACAAGGGATAAGATTCTTGTACTGTATATATAAGAGCATAAAAGAAGATTGTTTGTTTACATGTTAAAGTTTAAAGTATTGCGGTACGTTTACTTTAGTAAAAAGTGTTTTTAAGTAGTAGAATGAATCAGGTTGTCATAAAAAATGTGTGCGTGTTAAATCTATCCGACACAGGCTTTGCAAATTTGTAGCGACAACAATGGGTAGGAAAAGTGTATTAACGCGCAAAACATCAAGTATTTAATTTTACGTACAATATTAGGTGCCATAAAATCACTATGCCACATTATTTTGAATTTCCACCATATATACCTTTCTAGCATACTAGCACTTAATTGTGTGTTTTTATATAGTAATTTAACTATACATGATACTTGTATGATGAAATATTGTATTATAAAGCCGTGGGATTGACCACAAGGCCATCAATGGCCGCAGGATGCGGTGAGCGGTGTACCGCACCCTTAGTAACATACTGACCCATCTCCCCCCCCCCAACTTGTGTATGACGTCACAGCATGGGGTGGGAAATCAAGGGAGATCTGTAGAGCTCCACCGCTATATTGCAAGAACAATACCCCCATTATCACAGGTGTTTTGGAAAACTATAAGAATTGTTACGATTATCAATGCAATTTTTAAACTCCCGTATTATCAGTTCATGTGTTATAACAATTTAACTCATGCAGTAAAAAGCTGTGCTGTATTCTCAAATTCTGTAGAAGTCAAAGTAACTTACTATATTACTCGATTATATTACTATATTACTCGACATCAAACGTATTATTTAAGAAAAATCTTCAAATGCAAATTGTATTGAATGGATAAGCAATTTAAGAAATATTCTCGACTTTCCTTTCCCTAAATGATACAGAAGTTGTTGGTTACGTAAATTATCACACGAAAATTAGAAAAAGTACCAAGCAATAGTACAAAAAACAAGAAAGAAAGTAACAGTCAAACCAAAATTCAGTCATCACTATTATAGCAAAAATCAATACATTAAATACGCAACTGTACATAAAATAAAAACTCCATAATTGAAAACGAAAACTGTATTTTAAAACCAGCGTAAACAGAAGTAGCAACAAAACAATGACGTTAACCAACATATTTACCCAGTTAGCGCGGACAGTTTGCGTTTTGGCGGGACGAGGGGGGAGGGACCACAAATTAACGAGGGATATGCAGTTAATAATGGCGATTGTGGGGAAAACTGTGGTGTTGTCTAACATAACATTGGTTATGGCGGAGCAGAGTGTGGACAAACCCTGATGTTATTGTACGAGTCCCCAGGTACTCCAAACCAAGGGTACGGGGGGAGGGTAGCCCCAGGCTAGTCCATGTTGCCACAACATTGCCGATCCTGCTACATGGCACATGCACAAATATACGTTCACCCTTGGCGAAATTCGGTATTGAGTTTTTCTCATAGGAGTTGTTTTTAAGATTTTTCAATTAATTATTTATTGTCCGGAGGATGTACGGGTGTACTTTTGTCTCTGTCAGAATGTAGAATCAGAGGTAAAAGTCTCGTACTGAATATTTTATTGTATAACCTTAAAAATACATGGACACACCGTATAACACATTTTAAATGATCGAAACAGTAAGGTAAAGTTTAACATAAAGTCTTCTAAATTTCGTGAGGCGTTTGAATGAGTACAAAAACGATTCGGCCAGGTAGTTTAAGAAGACGTTTATACATTTAGGATTAACAAATTATGTTCATCAATTTCTCAATTGCATTTTTTCATCATCACAGAATCTATAGATTTCAATTTGGGATTTTAACATGCTTCGTAGTGTTAATCGATTGTATGTAAAATTTATAATCCTAAACACTATTTTATTGTGAATATGAATAATAATGGGAATAATTCATCATAGAGCAAAAATTAACAACGGCTTCACGTGAATGGTAAAACTTTTAGTTTTGGTACTTTTCGTATTCAAACCCCCTAAAAATTACAAACCACAAAAAGCAATCAAACGTACAAGCAATGTAGCAAGATCGACATAGAATAAACAGATCCGAAACACTTTCTGATAAAATAATCAAACGAAATCGCGAGGATAACTTTTAACGAGGTAACTTGGGAAGGAGAAGGAGTCGAAACTCGAGCGATGCAAATAAGCAGTGGTAGGCTACAAAGCTACGTTTCATTAGCTTTAAGGGGCTTTGGAGTGGAGATCAAATATACAGTCTGTGGTTGGTTGTCATACGCCAAGGACAAATGAAACGATAATGTGATGAGCATTCGATGCGATAATTTTTAGTGCTGGAATTGTGATCTATGTGATACCGTTTCCTACATGTAATATGAAAATGTAATACAAAAGATTATGGTTGGGTGCGATTATTTTAACTTTCGTATATGATATTACGATACCAGTGTTAAGATATTTTGATAAGAGAAGGGACTATACATTATGAGGATGGGTCGGAACAATATTTTTAAGCCTTAGTCACCAACAGGACTACAAGATCGCACCACTCATCCTATGCTCATCTCCATTCATACTTGGCTTAAAATATCTACATTCATAATGGCCGGCCTTTCATAAAAAAGAATAAAAGTATTAAGTAAACAAGATTGTTTGACCGTGTTACGGCACAACGCAACTAAAAACATTATTGAACGGAAGGCACGAAGTAAAAAGATGCATATAGAAAACTAACCCTGTAAATATCAAAGTTGACTATTTAAAATGCGAGGCAGGGAAGGTTCAAGTTGAAGACCCTAAGAAGTTGAGTCGACACAAATCCAGTGTTTCTTTTCAATTTCTGATGACGGAAAAGAATTATGTAAATTAGACTAAGATGACAATCTTTTTAAACATAATACGTGATCCAATCACAGTATAGCTGTGCTCGTGCAAGCAACTATGGAATTTGGGGTAATGAGTAGTGTATTTTAACAGGCTGATCTTGCCAAACAATGTATTAACCCATTATATCATAGCGCGTAATTATAATAAACTACTGAGCCAATCAGATATGAGAAAGAAACCAATCCTTCGTCGATTGAATGCGAGTATTCTTCCATAAACATACAAGGACTACTTTAATGGTTTTTTAAAATTTGAACGCAATACGATACGAAAACTTTTATTGACAATTAATGATCGGGCAACTACACTGCACAATCTAACCTGGTTAAGTTTTAATTTAAAAATTAATACCACTCCATTCTTAACCAACACAATTATGTTTATGTTACTGATATATAAATACACAGTTATTTTAAATGAACAAATAGTTTTTTGACAATTAAAATATACATGTAAACTTCTCTTAACACGTATTCAGCTATATGTGATCACACAAAAGATTATCCACCGTTACAGCTAAACGTTACGTACACTCCATAGTCCATATGTTACATTTAGTTTATTGTTAAAGCGTTATGTACAGTTATGTTTCGCCTGTACTGTACACGTTTACAATATTAATGGCAAGTCCATTGCAAACGACTGTTGACAGTGGTCACGTATATTGTTTAGCGAGTGAATCACGTACACGCTATTCTCGACAATCGGCCACAATTGCTAATGTTGGAGGTCATTTAAATAAACACGATTGATGCTAGCGAATCGGATCATCCCATTGTAAAAAAACAATTTTTTTGTTGGTTACGCACATTGTATTACCGATAGTTAATGAGTTACGAATGTGTATTCCAGTATTAGTGAGTCACGATTTTCGATATAACTTACACTAGTATTAATATATATTTTCGATTTACTTCGAGATTAGTACGTACATCCTATAGTGAGTCACGTAAAATATACGCACATCCCAATGATAATGAGTCACCTAGATTTATTATCGATACAGCAAACCCGATTGGGGAGCGAGCAGGGGGAGCGAGCTGGCGTAGTGGTTAGAGCGCGGGACTTCAGCCCCTGAGGTCCCGGGTTCGATCCCCGCCAAGTCACCAATGGATTTAATCCAAGTGATAATACCACAACCCCAATGTCTAGCCTGAAGTAACGTGAAAATCCCAGGCTCGTGCCTAGAACAAAAAAAGTATACCCTATTGTTAGCAAGTCACGTAGATTACGTTCATTGATTGTTACCGAGTCACGTACTGCATTATCGACAAAGCGTCACGTATGTCACGTGTGCACAGAGTGAAACACACCACATGTCACCCGCTGGCCTCCCTTTGACGACCCCAGTTGTTTACCAAGGGGCAAACAGGCGACGCCCCTATACTGACGATACTCCTCACATTTACCAATTAGCTGATTCCCCAAAGGGTTGCGGCCCAAGGGGTTGGAGCTTTCCTGTGTTTGATTGTTGGGAGCTAAATGAGAAAAATGTATAATGGGGTTGATACCTTTTTTGCGCTAGATCTTGCGGTGACAAGTTTTAGTTTGTCAGGATGATAGAATGTGTCTTTTTCATCTCTATTTAATTACGGGGTTTCCTCAGAGTTATTATTTTTATAGAATTAAAGCTCATATAGCAATTAAAATCCAATCATTGTATTAAACTACGTGTTGACACACTACGATCCAGAAACATTAGATATTTCATTATAAAATCAGACAACAGATCTCATAGCTAAAATAAAATTACTACTAGATTGCAATGCATAAATATATTATTATGGCCGATTTTCATCCAAAACCCAATCAAATAGAATCGAACAGTCGAGTTATTCCCTCTCGCTTCAGTTAGAAGCTTGAAGATTAATGTGTACCTCGAGTCGCGGCCAACTTCTCAAATAAGGTGACTGCAATGAAAC